AGTCTCTTTTGGGGGTGAGGCAAGATCCCATCAAGACACTTTTAATATTCATCCCTAAGTGTAAGAATGATATGTAGGAAGTCAAATACTTAGAAATAATAGTTGAGATGTTCTATTGATATAAGGCTTGCAAGAAGGGCCATTTAAGTACTTTATACTTTAGCAATCATGGATGATTGACAAACTTTTAATATTCATCAAAAACCATATTCTTGTTTAAGAATATAATAACATATAAATGCCTCCTCGACAAAACTTACAAAAGAATTAGCCTTCATGCATAATCAATATCAAAGCCATACGTATGATACATATCAGTTATGGAATCATGGAGTTGATATGAGGCCTCACAAGCTTTAAGAATGAAGCAATACTTGTCATAAAAAAGTACAATTATAAATGAGGTTGCATAAAATATAGGACAACCCACTCGATCAGTGAAAGTTGTATAAAAACCAACTTACCCATAATAAGAGGATGTACACAACAAATTCATTAGTATTGAACTATAACTCTTTCATGCATGTCTATGGAAAAGATCATGTGTGTAATTTAAAATAAGAAGTTTTTCAATTTCCCCGTGTCATAAAAGTGATTTTCCATTAAAGAGATGCCTCTAAATATTATGCCTTATGTAAATACTCTTAGCACTAGTAGAAGATACCCTAAAGGTGAGGTTGCTGAAGGAACTCATCCTCTCCAGTAGAGGAAGGTACACTAGGAATGCTCACATGGTGGATAAAGGGAACAAAACCATTCATCCCAATATCATTTATATTACTAGGGTAGTACAAGAAGCTAGAAGCCTCACTCAAGAGAGTAAAATAAATAAGCTATCATATAATGAGTACTCATGATTGATGTCACTATAATATATTTAATTACATAGATAAGACCACAAGAAGAAATCTTCACAATGGCGCCATGGTAGTCATAATAATGTTCACCAACTACAAAATTAACAGCACACTCATTAATAAAATGAGTTTAATTAACATTATATTTAAACATATTTTTAATAGAATGAATATACTTATTTTCAATATACTTCTATCACAATAACTCTTTATAGTTTCTCTAGCATGCTTTGAGAGATCAAATGTGTGATTGCCCAACCAAGCACTAAGGACACTGCAAGCTAAAATCTGGCATGTTGGATGACTTTATCATCATCTGACTCACCACAAACCTTAATGCCATATTTTGGAGGCCCATCTTAAAAGCTTTTAAGTGGTTATCTTGAAATACCATGTTGCGATTAAGTTTCAACAAGAAGACCAAAAATTTATTATGAGGGATGTCCTTACCCATTCGTTAACCTACTACTCTAAGGATATAGGGAATGTGTCAACTTTAGTTGAGGAAGTATTATAGTTGTAAGTTGGGATAGGATAAGGGTTAAAGACCACTAAGTTAGTGGTGGAAGTATAAGCAATTAATTAAAAAAAGTGTATAATCTAAATTACATATTTTATTAATACAAAAATGCAATCAAATTCTATCCTTTTGTGAAGGAGATGAGTAAATAATTTAATAATTAAATTAGCATTGTGGTTCCATAGATAGAGCACCTTAACTCTACTCATATCATCAGCAACGAAGCACTATAAAGCAGCACTGTATATGTAAGGGTTGGATCTAAGAAAAATAGTAAGGCACCTAGGTGCCTTTTGACCTCATTTATGTATGAGGTCACTAGGACCTACCTAAATTATTTCTGGTGTCCTAATGATTGCAAGGTTTCCAATTCTCAATCATATAGGTCCACATCAAAAATAAATCTAAGTCTAATCAAATCTAGTCCCACCCTTCAATTCAATCTCTAGTATATCCTTCCACCAACTTCCAAATCAACTTTCAAATCATATCCAATCAATATCAATCATTCATTAGAATTTAATTAATTTGGATGATTCAAACTTAACTATTCAACTCCAAAATCTAATCCAAATCCAAGTTTCTAAACCAAATCCCAAGGTTAAGGACCTATTTCCTAAAACCCTTTCTAGGTGAATTTTCTATCACCTTGAAATGCAATCAAATAACCTTTTATTTGGGGCCTATCAAATTCATATTGATTATATATGTCTCTAAGACCAACCCACCAAATTTGAGCTCATTTTGAGGACCCCAGCCCCAAAAACAAAATTGATTTCCAAATGCTATAAACCTTTAAACATTTATAATCTATGCTATTGGATTTACCATTCAATGGAATTTGGCCTTGGGACTCTTTCAAAACATATAAAAAAATTCATGTACTTTTTCATGACTTGTTTATCAATAATCCAGACTTTGTTGTACCCAGTTTAACCTAGGGTTAACCATGGGTCAAAATCACCAAAATACCATTTAAAGGGGGTTTTGGTCTTTTCTCTAAACCTCAACATTGTTCAACCCTATCTACCTTCACACTTGTAGAATTTTACAAATCAGTATCACATCATGCATCATCTAAACCTAGGAAGAGGCAACATAATCCAAATAGACTTGTAAATCCATTCCTAGGAGTTAAATGAATTTCTTGTGGCATGCTAGGGCATATCTCCACAGCATAGCATGCATGCATAGCATAATTTTCTAGAACACATTTAGTATGGAGACCAAAATTGTATAAACCATAGCATAGCATGAATGCATCTAATTCTTCAATTCATAAGGTGGAACCCAATTTTTTTTGTGTTAATAAATCTAACCCTTGATGATTTTGTAGGGCTACTCTCACAAAAGGCCCAGTGAGAGCATATGGTGCCTGGACAATGGATGTTCAATACACATGACTGGAGATGTAAAGAAATTCATCACGTTGGAGGCCATGGTAGGGGGCAAGGTAACACTTGGAGATAAAACCAATATGAAGGTGGTGGGGTAAGGTATAATTCATAACTCAAAAAATTTCATCATTAAAAATATTTTACTCGTAGATGGCTTAAAACATAATTTTCTCAGCATGAGGCAACTCTGTGATAAAGGCTTCAGCATAATTTTTTTTTCTACTAGCTGCATTATAAGCTTGAATGGAAATACTATTTTGCAGAGAAAAAGAATTAATGATTTTACATGTTTGATCTGCATTGCATTGAATCTACTACTTCTCTTTGCTTAAAAACTATTGTTGATTAATCCTGATTATGGCATAGGAGTCTGTGTTATACAAGCATGAAAAATATTAGTAAAATCACCCAAAAAGACTTAGTGAGAGGCATACTCAAACTAGAATTCACTAAATACCTCCTGTGTGATGCCTGTCAGTTAAGAAAATAAGTAAAATCCTCCTTCCACTCAATCAAGGACATTAACACTAACAACCCTTTAGAAGTCCTTCACATGAATCTCTTTCGACCCATTAGCACTATAAGCAAAGGAGGGGAAGTCTTTGGATATGTGACTATTGATGACTACTCAAGATTTACTTGGGTTAGATTCTTATCTCATAAAAGTGAATCATTCAAGGAATTTAAGACATTCTCCACTTGAATATAGAGACAGCTAGGCTATGAAATTCTGAAAATTCATAGTAATCTTAGTGACGAGTTTCAGAATGAGAAATTTGAATTCTACTATAAGAAGTAAGGGATAGATCATAGTTTTTTAGCTTCTAGAACCCCTCAGCAGAATGATATAGCTGAAAGAAAGAATAGGACATTGGTAAAAGTTGTTATAGCTATGTTAACTAAATATTCACTTTCTAAATACTTTTGAGAAAAAACATTAAATACATCATGTTATATTCTGAATAGAGTTAATGTTAGATCAAAGCTAAACAAGACACCCTATGAAATCCTTAAGGGTAGAACACCCAACCTCTCTCACTTTTATGTCTTTGGATGTAAAGTGTTCATTCTAAATAATGGGAAATCTCTGCTAGGAAAGTTTTCCACCAAATCTGATGAAGGAATCTTCTTATGATACTTAAATGTTAGAAAATCTGTTAGAGATTTCAATAAAAGGACATTGCTGGTAGAGGATACCATTCATAAATTTTTTTTATGAATTTAATAATTCAGGAGGGTTTTTTTTGAGAAATGCATAGAGCAATTGCATTAAAAAAGAAATAAGCTAATACAAGCTAATAGCATCACATTCCTCCTTTAATAATAGTAAAAAAGGAGAAGGAATGTGTTCCATACTATAAGAGTCCCAAGCAAAATCACTATTAAGAGCAAAGTTAGCACACATATCGGCTAACTTATTACATTCTCTACTAACTTGTTTGAAAATAACAAAATTAAATTCTTTAATAAAGGAGGATAATCTTACTTCAATTTCTGATTTCTGCTTTGTTTTGATAATGTTTTGAAAACTTTTCATCACATTATCATTTTCTCCTTCAATGATGATTCCTTGAACTTGAGAATTCCAATCCTTGATAATTTCATGAAGAGATAATATTCTCTCTAGTTCAAGACGAGCAATGTCCCAATGAGTACATTTGATTCCTTTAGCAAAGAGAAATCTTCCAATATGATCACGTCCAATAGCTCCAATTCCGGCATTATAATTAGATAATAATGAAGCGTCCACATTAATTTTGATCCAATCGGGTGGAGGAGGATGCCAAGAGTTTTTAAACAACCGGGAAGGTTGATTAACATCCCAAAGGCCCGATTTATTTCTATTAAAAATAGAAATATATGTCATACTAAGAGCATTAGAAGCAATGTTCAAATTGGAATCCTCAATTCCTTCATGAATAAGTCTATTTCTAGACTTCCAGCAAAGAAATACTAAATTGCAAAATACATTTGTGATAAATGTATTTTTAGAAGCATTTACTTCCAACCAATCCAATGTTTCAGCAAAATTGTAAAATTC